TTGTCATCAATCCCCCCACCCAGGGTTCTTTCCATCGCGCCCCAAAGTCTCATCTGTTTCCTCCTGGTCCCCTTTGTTTACCTTGCACCCAGCCCTCTCTGACATCCCCAGCTTCAGAGCATGGTAGAAGCCATGACTATGATGTGAGTTGGGTTGGTGTCAGGGAGTCAGGAGGATGGGGCATATCCGAGTCTGTCTGTGAGCAGCCAGTGGGCTCTGTGGCCCTGAACTGCAGCTCGGCCTCTCTTCTCTTCCCTCCTCCATGCCTACTCCCATTCTTGCCCAAGGTCCCATTATGCCTACTATCCCCCACTCCAGCCACCGTCTCAGTGAACACACTGCCAGGTTCTTTATCAGACCTGTTCCCTGAGGGAAACCTAACAGTAGGGGGCCTGACATACCCTTCCTCCCTGTAACCCTCCCCCACAGAACCACTCAGCCCAGCCACCCACCTCCAAGCAAACCCAACTAGGTTTTGCCTCAGCCTCCCAGCCCTTTCCTGTAAATGCACTCACAGCCAGGAGGGGTGCCATATTAAATCAAGAATGATAGAAACCAGTGGCCACGATTATCCAGCTAGATGCAGCATAGGGAGCTGGTTGCTGCTGGCTGCAGGTGAGGGCTTCTGAAGCTAATTGCATATGGCTTTTATTAAGATGATCACTCCCCCACTCCTGCTCTCCTGGGTGGCTTCTTCCAAGTGCCTCTCAGCCCACTGCTGCAGGCTGGGTCACCTGCCTATATTCTCCTATAGTGGAACCTTTTCAAAGCACAGCCTTGACCTTAGTCCCTGTAGCCTTCCTCTCCATCTCCTCAAAAAGCCAGAAACAATAGCAGCCCACATATGGAGACTTTCCCAAGCGCTTTCTCCCATTCTTCTGTCTCCTCTTTCCCAAGAAGAATACATACAGACCAGGGCTTTTCCTTCCCTAGGTTCTTCCAGTGGCTGGCTTTTCACAAGCATGGGCTCATAGCTCATGCTTTAAAATGTCATTCATTCAGCACTTTTTTTTTTTAAGTGCAAAGTCTGTGCTAAGTATAGGAAAAGAGAGTGAAGCAGTAACCTTCTACCTGGTTTAATCTCAGTATCCTGTACATTTTTATCCAAAATTCTGATGCCTTTTCAGAAGGTTTTCTGAATAGATATTTAGGGGCCTGGCTGGTGGAAAATCAGGATGCGCTCAGATTTGGGCCACAGGTTGACTGTTTCTCAGGACCGTTTGGAAAGTTCCTGAGAAACCAGCTAGGTCGTGGTGGAACCTTTCCGCCATGTTTAGCCCCTACACAAGTCAAAGACCCTTTCCCCTTGCCCAGGAAAATAACAGGAACTCTGTGACAACCTAAAAGCATGACACTGAAGAAGAGTTACAGGAAGTAGAAATATTTCCCTGGAGAAGACTTAAGGAGGCCAAAGTGATCATACCCAAAGCAACAAAGTGGCGAGAAAAGTCGTGTTAGAGTTAGACTTGGCCTGCTGCAAAAGAAAAACATGTTCTGTGAGGCCCCATAGATCAATGGATGGAAAGTACCTAGAGGCGGAGTTCTCTACCACGTGAGGAAAGCTGACAGGCAGAGATGAGCCGCAGTAGAGGCGTCCCCAGAACGCTGCTGGTGTTGGGACTGTGCCCTGCGGGCCTTGGGTTCCTAGGGGAAGGATCCTCATGGGCCACTTGTAGGGCAGTGGGGGCATCCAAGTGGACTTGGCTCCTGGCTTCTGCTTAAGCCAGAGCAACTCTTCTCTTTATCTGTGGAGCTCCATGCAAATTAAATTAGCTAAGAGAGTTCCAGTACCCCAAAAAAAAGGCATTGGGTTAGATAATCAGTTATCAAAATGCAGCAAAGGAGAAAGGGAGTAGCATTTATGAAAGGTCTCCCAAGGGGCAGGTACTGTGCTCTCCACCTGAGTCTCTCACATACTACCTCTATATATGCATTCACTGTGTGCCAGAGACTGCCAGGTGCTTTGTATCGTTATCTCACCTAATCCTCACCAGCATCCCACAAGGATCCTGCATGGTAGGTATGAGTACCATCCCCATGTTAGAGAAGAAGAAACTAAAATTTAGAGAGGTGAATTGACTTTCCCAAGGTCAGCTAGCTGGTAGGTAGACGAGGTAAGGTTTGAATTCAGGTCTGTCTAGAGCAAAGCTTCTTTGTGTCACACGGAGTCAAAAGAGGAGCCAAACCTTCAGATGGGGACAACTGTAAGAATTAAATATGACACTCTGTATAATATGCTGAGTACAGTGCTTGGCGCACAGCAGCTTGTCCACAAATGGTAGTTACCTCATTCAGTTGGCAACATGTATTGACTGACTCCTTCCGTGAGCCAGGCCCTGTGCTAGGTGCTAGAGCTATAGAGATGAATAAAACATGGTCTTTGTCACTAAGAACCTCATGGTCAAGAAAGGAGAGATAAACAGGCAGTTAAATAAGTGCTCCAGGGGTCCCGGGACCAGGGACAGGCACGAAGCCTTACAACAGGCTTCTTAGATAATACAGTATTGAAGCTGAGATCACCAGGGCACTTAGAGGTAGGTGGGAATGGAGGAGATTTTTGTGGTGAGAGAACAGTGTAAGCAAGAGGCCCAGAGGCGGGAATACCCATCACTGAGGGGAAGTGAGGAAACACCCACCAAACCCTCAGAGGCCAGCTTCCATCGCTTCCAGCTCCTTCCGTGGCCTGACTGCAAACCGGCCCAGCTGATAGCCAGGGCTGTACCAGCCGATCTGTGTGCATCTCACCATCAGAGCCTTCCAGCCCAGTGGACCCAAGTGCTGAGGGGCTGGGTGGGCAGGGGAGAGGAGGAGGCAGATATATGACTGGAGTCATCAGAGCCAGGTGATGTATGTGGTGCCTGAGGGAGCTGCACAGTGACACTCTGGATTCCAACCGGCAAGCGTCTCTCCGCTGGGATCGGCGCCGAATTATTGCTCCATATGAAACCCCAGAACTGATGGGAGCTTTCAGTTACAGACTGATAGCAACAACCAAAATTGGATTGTTTGCTATTTATTTTTTTTAACTTCTGTCAAGGTCACTAGCGTAACAGGAAAACACTGCCCAAGCAGCAGGTATTTTTCATCCACTCTGCTTGCAAGAGCAATCTGCAGCCATGACTTTCGTGACAAGGCCTTACCTTGGCAGCTCGTTTCTAAAAAGCTGTCAGTGTTGCAGGAGTCTTAGGGGAAAGGAGCCTCCCTCCTGAAGACTTCACTCCAAGACCTGCTTCCTGCTCCCCTCCCCCAGCTTCCACAGGTGCTTTCTTATGAGACCCACATGCTCACCCCTCCCTCCCTGGTCTCCAGATAGTCCCACAGCGCCCACCTAGCCCGGTACTCCAGCTTCTTCAAGCCCCCTGTCTCCCAGAAAGCCCCCACAAAAATGTTCCACACTTTCCTTCTCTGTACTCCTACACCACCCGGTCTAGCTGTTCATTCCTCTTTATATCTGTCATCAGATTCATTTTTGCAAACATTCACCAGATGCCTCCACTGTGCCAGGATTTGTGCTAGGAATACCAGTGATTAAAAAACAGTGCCTGCCCTCAGGGAACTCATGAGTGATTTAGAGTACAGAGCCACAGACATGCAGCAAGCTTGTTTTCAAGTAGTTTGGGTTTGGTTTGGTTTGATTTGGTTTTGTTAGGGGGCGGGTTAGTGATGGGTACAGGCATGCATGCTTTGGAACCGGGAGGAAAATGATGATTGATTCTGCCTGAAAAATATTTGTGTACAGACCTTGCCTCACCTCCCCTACCCAACTTTGAGCTCCCTGAGGGCAAGGCCTGGCTCTCCTCTCCTCCCTACAGCATGACCAAGCTCAGGAGCTTCTGCCTTTTCTGAAATGGACCAAGACCAGGGTCAACACATGCCAGGCACTCAGGGACAGAGCACAGTTTTTCTCCTTCTCCCCACCCCACCTTTCCATCGTGGCATGCACATAGCAATTGCTGAATAATTGTGTTTAATTGAAATGCAATATCTTTAAAATGGAGGGTGTTTGGGCCAGCCGAGTGGCACGTTGGTTAAGAGCTGGCTTAGGATGCCAGCTCTGAGCAGCAGGGCCCCAGTTCGGATCCCACATGGGGGACAACGACACTGCCCTCTACAGCTAAGATGGTGAACAACAGCTCAACCTGGAGCTGGACTGCCGTGAGTCGCCGGCAACAGCGTAGGCTGCAGCCCCTGCTGCAGTGGGCTGCTGTAAGCTACCGTGTGTGGCTGGCAGCCAGCATGAGCGGCTGGCAGCCGGTGTGAGCTGCCAAGAGCTGCCGTGAGCAGCTGTCCAGAGGCCAGCGACCGATCTGCCTCACCCGGGAAGAGCGCAATGATAATACCAACATGGGCCAGTGAAGCAACGTCCTCCACAACTAGACTGAAGAACAAAACGACAGCAACTTGTCTGTTCCCCTTCCCCCAATTCCCCATCGCTGTTCCCCTCCCCCAATTCCCCAATAAAATCTTTTTAAAAAAAGAAAAAATAAAGTAAAATGGAGGGTGTTCATAGCTCTGGTTTTCAAGAGGATAAGTGGAAAGGGAAAGGAACCTATATTTGTTAAGTACTTATTGCATGCCAGCCACAATGCTAGGTACATTACATACATCATCATATGTAATATCTGATTAACAGATAAAAACTGAGGTGAAGTAACTTGTTCCAGGTGATAAACACATTTTGTAAGTGCCAGAGCGGGGATTCGAACCCAGGTCTCCTGTCAGACTTCAGAGTCAAGGATTGATTTACTGGCACTACTTACTTTACTAGCAGGGTGAGCCATGACCCCTGGGCAGTGGCCACCTGCAGTAAGGAGCTAAGGTGAGGGCTGGGATGAGGGGACAGGGGAAGGGCTGGGCCTCCAGTGATCATGAGCCAGAGCTGTGCATCCTGACCCCTGGAGAGCCAAGCCTATGTTTTATGCCCTGAGTTGGAGGATAGAATGAAACTAGGATCCTGCTGGGCCCGGCACTCCTGAGCCACCTTCGCTCTCTCCCCACAGTACCAGGAGAAGCAGCGGAAGCGTGAGGCTGAGGAGCGGCGCCGCTTCCCACTAGAGCAGCGGCTGAAGGAGCACATCATTGGCCAGGAGAGTGCCATCGCCACAGTGGGTGCAGGTGAGCGTGTAAGATGCTAGCCAGCTCCCAAAAGGGCACAGTAGCGCATGGTCTGCTGCAATGAGGTGTACATCCTGCCGTCACTATCCTGTGGAGAGGTGACTAATGATATTACAACTTAACGTTTGTTGAGCACTTTTCTGTGTGCTGAACATTGTGATAAGCTCTTTGTATATGTTGTGTTATTTAATCCTTACAGCGGCCCTTTGAGGTTGGTGCCATTAAATCTGCATTTTGCAGATGAGGAAACTGAGACACAGAGCACTTAAATAAATTGCTCAAGGCTGCTTTTCCTATGCTTACAATTGAACCCTGACCTTGATCTGGTCCAGTGCCCCCCCACACACACTTTTCAGGTGAGGAAACAGACCCAGAGGGGAGTGGGAGCTTGTCCAGCACTAGTAATGTAGCAACTGAGCCAGAATTTCTGTCATCTGCTGCTACTGGCTCAGTTTTAGGGAAAACATTCTGAACAAGTCTTGAAGGCCTCCTTCTCCACCCCAGAAGTTCTTATGTTCCATACCCCTGGGGGCCAGACTGCCCGCTCATGTAACCCCTGCTCTATCTAACAGCCCTTGTGCCCATGCCTACCCCACTGGAGAGAAAGATAAAACTAGGATTCTGCTCAAGACGGTGGCCTCACCACTGTTCTCCAACTCAGCTGCATGACTCCCTGAGGGCGACCTCAGAAAAATGTGGCAAGGGCAGAGGAACCCATGTCCAGCTTAAACAAGTGGGTATTCCCCAAGGCAGTGCTTTTCAGAGCATGGTCTCTGGACCAGCATCATCAGCGTCCTGTGGGACCTTGTTAGAAACGCAGATCTCAGGCCTCTCGCCAGACCTGTGGAATCAGAAACTGGGGGTGGGGCCCAGCAATCCGTGTTTTAACAGGCCCTGCAGGCGACTCTGATGTTCAGCTCAAGTTTAAAAACCTTTGCCCTGCAGTGTCTCTGTCAGTCCCCCCACATGTTGCTTACCTCTTATCTCCAAGCATCTGGTCCCACCAGACGCAGTCACCAGGTTCTGCTCACTGATAAAGGAGACTTCAGGCTGAAATTGTGGTGCCCCTATGGGATATTGCTGGGGTGGCACTGTCAGCCCTAGGAAACCAATTAGAGAAGTAATTGAAAATGAAAGCGGCCACACTCCGTGACACACCAAGCCAGCCTGATCTCCATCACCCTCACATACACCAGTGGGCCTCATGTGGCAGTTGCGAGCTCTTCATCAGGGGCCTGACCCCATCAACAGATAAAAAGAGCCCAGTGACCAGAGCTGCCTCACCAGCTAGAGGTTGAAAAACTGCCCTGCCCGCAGGCACACACAAGAGCCAGGGAAAGCTTTTTTGAATATACAAAGCCCCACTACCTTGGCAATATCAACCCCCCACTTCTTTGCCTAAGCCGTATCTGAAGTGGAGGGAGGGAAGACCCTGGTAGCTCTCGAGTTGGAGAAAGGAGTAGCCCATGGGAAAGACAGATCACTTGAGCAGAGATCTAAGAAAGCATCTCCTGCTGGAGTCTCCTGTGCATTTGGGCCAGAACTGCAGCTGCCATCATAGTATTTTCCTTCTGCGTCTCACATGGCCTTTTCCCAGGAGGCCATCTGCTCCTCTGACCTCCTGCTCCTCACCAGCTTCTCAAGCCCGTTCCATCTGAAGCTCCCAGAAGTAGGAGCTGTGGGGAGAGGGAGGAGGACATTGAGATGGAAAGAATTCGACCAGCATGGGCTCAAACAGCAGATCGGCATTTACCAGCTGTGTGACTCAGGCTAATCACTCAGCTCTGAGTGTCATTTTCTTCACCTGTGTACCGGGGGGCTCGATCCAGACTGTCTGACTATAAAGCACATGCTCTTGCCAGTGTGTGTCACACAGCACTGAATAAAACCTAGTCCTTGTCTTTAAGAGGTGTACTGTCTGGGATTGGGCACTGTGCTCTTTAGGTCAGGCCCACGGCTGTTTCCTTCAAGCTGGGGCTGACCCTTAGACCCAGCCCAGGCTGGCCTCTTGCCCTGGTCCTGCCGACCTCCGCTGCCCCACACACCTGTCTGTCCTTGCCATTGGCCCAACGCAGGAGTCGATGATTCAGCTCGCCACCCCCCAGGGGCTGTCAGAATGTCTGCCCTTAGTGCTTCCTTCTACCCAAAGCTCCATTCTGTCACCCAAACTCTGCCTCAGATTAGAAAGGCCCTACTCCTTGTCCTGTGGTGTGTAGGTTGACCCTGCTGCGACTCCAGTGACCCCAGAAAAGACAGGCCACTGGGGCCTAGGCTGTGGGGTTGATGCATTGTCTCTATTTGTAAGGCAGTAGTAACTGTGTGCCCGCCTTGCTAGGAGCCCTGTGACTGGGGATCCCACTGATAATGGTCAGATAATGTCCAGCTACCCACCCAGGTGAAGCCTGAGGCACTCTCTGGGTCAGTTTGTGGTAGGCAAGCAGCAGCCAACCTCAGGACTGGAAGCAGGTGCAGGCGAGGGAGGCGACCTAGAGTTTAGGCCAGCCCTCTCTGCGTCCTCTAGGCTAGTGTCACATGTGTGCTAGGGACTTGGCTGGGTGGAGCCTGGCACCCCAGGGGTACCGTGAGGATGGGCAGCCAGAGAAGTGCCGCAGAATGAATTGATTTGATAAATGGCCATTTATTACCCTCTCGAATTGGCTGAAACCAATTTCGGTCACATCAACCCCTGGTAAGTGCTGGGATATTGATTTGTGCAAAGTAATACAGTGAATTTATCAGTGTGATCCCCAGCTGCAGGGCTTCTAGCAAGGCTGGCGCACAGTTACCGCCTTACAAATAGAGGAGGTAACACACAACCCCACAGCCCCGGCCCCCATGGCCTCTCTGGTCTTCTGGGGTCACTGGAGCCAAAGCAGGGCCAACCAACGTACAGCAAGCCAGAGTCCTGACATTGAAAGTGAGGTTTTCCTTCCAGAATCCAGAGCTGTTCTAGGTCATGGGGTAGAACGGGATGCCTACCCTGTTGGGCAGACCTCCTGGGAGCTCAGAGCCTCTGTGCCCCACCATCCTCAGAAAGGCCAGCTGTTCAGCACATTCAGAGCTAGACTCCGCCCCTTTCCTCCAACCTGCCTACCTCCTGGGTTCCTGTCTCAGCCAAGGCACCACCATTCGCTGATCTAAATAGAAACTTAGATGTTTCCTTGGCCCCTCCTTCTCCCCTCCCCCCTCACAGCCCATCAAGTATCAAGTTCTATCCTTCTACCTCTTAAATGCATCTCAGACCTGGCCTCTCCCTTCTGTTCTTAATACCACAGCCCCAGCTCAGGACCTCGGCCTCTCCAATCTAAATCACGCAGTAGCCTTCTCACTGGTCTCCCTGCTTCCTTTCCTTTCACTATAATCACTTTTTCTCAGCAGTTTGAGTGAGCTTCGTAAAATGTAAAAACTCCCCTGTTTAAAAGCCCTTGAGTGGCCCCTGCTGCCCTAGCCCGGCACACAAGGCCAACCCCTACTCCCCCACCCCTGCTGTGCACTGCACCCACCAAGACACCACCAGCCACCCACGCTGCCTCTGCTTCACTGCACATGCATGGAAGTCCTTTTCTTGAGGCCCTTTCCCCACCCCAGCCCTGCCTGTCTCCCATGCTTCGACTGGCTCTTACCCAGCCTGACTCAGTTCGGGAGCAGTAGACTAGACTTCTGAGGGCAGAGATCCTGACTGAGTTGTTTTTGTTTTTCCAGTTCCTGGCACAGCACTCTGCTCAAAGTAGACACTTAGTGCAGTTTGTTGAATTAATTAATGTGATATGACCCCTCGTCTATCTCAGTGATGTGCTCTGAGGAAAGAAGAGAAGCTGTAAGCCTGCTCTCTAGTAGTTCATGAGCATACTGGGGATGTGACAGTAGCGAAATAATTCAGCACAACACCCATACTCCCTGACCTTTTGGGTGGACAGACCGTTCCCGGACCTGCTCTGAGAAGCCGCCTCTGGGCAGCAGATCACCCTACACACCTGGAAGCTTCCCTCTGACCAGGGACCTGGCCCCAGCACCCATTGTACCTGGTCCCAGTTGACAGTGCAGCCCATGAACGCCCTTGGGGAAGTTCTGACACATCAACTGCTCTTCCATGCCGGGACCGGGCCAAGCTCAGAATCTCGGCATCAGGCAGGTAGCACGCAGCAGGCACACCATCCTGTCTCGTGCCTCCCTTCCCTCTTTGACTAATCCAACACTGTAATCTTCCCCAGCCCAGAACCTCTCTGGACTTTCCCTTGGAGGCCCATTTCTGATCTGAGAAATATATCCAAGTCACCCCGAGTTGTGAAGCGGCAGTGATTAATTTAGAAACTGCTTGTAGTTCCACCTGCAGGTGTGTCCCACGCCCCTGCTGTTCTTGTTGCCTGACTGCCCTGCTGAGACACTCAAGACCCAGGCCTTCCCCAGGAAGCCTTCCTTGGCCCTCCACCTGATGCAGGGCTTTTTTTCTAGGCTTCCTGTGGACACCTTTTGTCACTGCACTTACCACAGGGCGTCGGTTTGTATGTCTTTCTCCCTCCAAAGGTCAGGAGCCACCCCACATTTCAGCTGTTTCCCCAGGGTTGGGCACACAGGTGTGTAAAATGTGGTTGAACTCCAGTAAATAATCTGAGCCCCTTTTGACACTCTCCCTCTCCTCAACACAGGTTTTCTTTGTTTTTTTCTTTGGCATTCAGTATTATATTAATTTCGGGTGTACAGCATAGTGGTTAGACATTTATATAAGCTCAACACCGATTTTCATCTCAGCCTCTTTCTGGAAGAGTGTCGCTGTTCCCTCCAGTGATGCCCACCTGCAGCGTGCATGTGCACACAATGGGTGGGCTCAACAAAAGCTATTGTTTGCGTTTTTAATATGTTAACCACTCAGTAGCAATAGTTTGCCTTAAGAATGACTCATCCTTAAAGACTAAGAAGAGAGCTGTTCTTTGATCATCCTCCAAACCCAGGGCCTCTGTATCCACTCAGTCAGCAGGCACTTCGTGAGTACTTGCCATTCTCCTAGAACCTACAAGCCGTAGACAGGAAATTGCTAATGGACATTCGGGTGACTCTCAACCATGAGAGCCCCTCTGAAAGACTGGCTCCCCTAGGAGATGCCACAGGCATGGAAAACACATGTCCCAGGTTAGGTTAAAAAAAATTCCCACGCTAAAACTTATCAGGAAGGATGAGCTAACCCCCCCAGACTGCCCGAAAACCTCGCGCTGACGGCAGCAAAGGCCTGGGATGGAGGGAGGAGGTAGCGCCTCTCCCCTCGCTTAGGTTTTGCGCACACTGGGTCTTTCTTTCTGGAATGTCCCGTCATACCCTGACTGCCTGGCAATCTTCTCCTCATCCTCCAGGCACAAACGTCAGTCAGGCACAAATGGCTGTTCCCACACTTCTCCCAGTGTTCCCATCCCATTTGGAACCCACAGTTTTCACAGCAGCATTCACCTAAAAGGCACACACCTTATTTGAGGCTTCTTTGTAGGTGCCCTAGCACCCAGCACAGAGGTTATTTGCTGAACAAGTAGATAAGTTCCCTGGAGAGGGGTTACGAGATCGGAAGCCTTATTCACCCAAGGGCAGTAGTAACCACTTGCAGCCATAACCACTAGGGTCAAGGCCTCATTCTTCTTTGTAAAATAGGAGTTGGAAGTATCTGTTCTTTCCCTCTTGTGATTCCGAAAAGACCAAGAATTAATTCATTAATTAAGCCAGCATTATACCGCTGTTGGGCTATTCCCAAGGGTCCCTCAGGAACTAGAACTAGTTAGTACCTGCTCCCATGGAACACACAGCTTGGGGCGCATCCTCCCCCCAGATATGAAGGCACAAGCAGTTGAAACCCCTTAGTCTGCACGTCTCTAAGCCTCAGTCTCCTTTTCTGTAAAATGGAGATAATACCTACTTCTCAGGATTATTATAAGGATGAAAGAGGGATCCGTAAAATACCAAAGCTAGTGGCTGCTGCTGCAATGATTGCCATTATGTTTACTCTTATTATTCCACTTCTTGCATCTTACAGAATGCTTTCATAGCCATTAACTCATTCTGTCTTCATGGGGCTGACTCAGCATGTACCATATTCCCATTTTATAGATGAAGAAACTGAGGCTGTAAAGAAATCAGGGTTTTAGTCAAAGTCAATAAACTAGTGAGTGGCAGGGCCAGGGCTCTAAACTAGATCATGTAACTCTTACCCTCTCCACCTTACCACCCCATAGATGAACACAGACCAGAGAATACAGACCCCGGGAGGACCGGGGCCCATGTGGGGTGGTGGAGTTCATCATAGAGAGTTGTGTGGGTGAGTTTTAAGGTGGGTCAGTCATGGTCACCATGGCCAGGAGCAGGCCCGGGTAAGAAGAGCCCAGCAAGGAGGCATTGGCAACAGCCCCATGTCGGAAGAGGCAGCCAAGCCTGCCTGGAGCTGCAGGGATGGAACCAGCCAGTGAAGGGGACCCTGGCACCATCTCAAGCTTAAGAGCAGAGGTCAGGAGATGGGCTCCTGAGGCCCTGTGTTGAGTCGCTGCTCGAGTCAGACAGTTTTCCAGGTGAGACAAGGCTAACCCTTGAGGAGGTGCTGTGACCAGGGCAAGCTGACCCTTTCCCTCAACTTCTAAAGCGCTAGTTCAGGCTCAAGAGCCAGCCAGAGCTGGGGTAAATCCCAGGGTCTTCATTTATTTACCTATGTAACCTTGAGCAGGTTACCTAACATCTTTGTACATATTTCCTTGAGCGGGAATCAAGTTCCCTGCCTGCCTTGTAGGTTCATAATGAGACTCAAATGAAGTTATGTGGACAGAAGTTCTTTAGAGACTATGAAGTGCTAACAGAGTAAGGTGCTGCTTGGCTGGCCCACAGTGAGAGCCCCAGCACCTATGGCCACGTCCACATGGACCCATCCAGGTTTCTGTCTGTCCTGGCCTCTGCCCTAGCCTGACAAGACCCTCAAGGCTCCCAGCCTTGGTCCTCAGCCACTCGGCCAACTACACCCCTTGGGGCCTGCTTTCCCCGGTTCTTCCGAATGCTTCCATTTTTCATTCTGTCGGACTCCATCTGCTTGGCCGTTTTTCTCTTCAGATATTATTAGAAATATCCAGAGTTGTAATTGTTTAATGGTTGGCATTTCGCCTGTTTCACAGGGGGGCCCGGATCAAGCCCACCCCAGACTCCTGCTCTGGGTCTGGCAGAATTGACCAGGGACAGCTGTGCAGTGGAGCCTGCCTGGCATTATAAAGAGCTTTCTCCCAGGTGCATTATTAGAAAAGAAGGGGGAAAAGATGGCCCCAGGCATAATCCAATTCCACATTCTCCATGGTGCGTTGGAACTGCCTGGCCCAGCAGTGTGCAGCTCTCAGTGGGCTGGGAAGCTTTCCTGAAAGAGAAGTCCAGGTCGGAACCTGAGGTCCACGGTGCCTGGGCACTTCTGCCTCCCCAGATACCCCATGAAGCCTGAACTCAGTTTATGCTCAGCTTCTTTCCAACCTAGATTCTTAATTTAGCCAACTTTCGGAAGAATTTGATTCCTTTCAGGTGATCCCTCTCTCACCATCGCCCCAACACACATCCAAACACAGTGTTACAGAAGTCTAGCCTTTGCCATTTTACGATATCTCCACCTCCCCCAAATACCCCTACGCCTGGGTTCTTTTTTTTTTTAATTAAAATTTATTGGGGTGACAACGATTAGTAAAATTACATAGGTTTCAGGTGTAAAATTCTGTAATACATCATCTATCACATTGTGTGTGCACCACCCAGCATCAGTTCTCCTTCCATCACCATGTATTTGGGGTTCTTGTTTCTCAGGACACGGAACTCCCCCTCAGCCAGACTTGGACTTCTCCCCTTCATCCCCAGCCTTCGGGTACCTATGAGGCCTGTGGGTTCCCTGTAGAGCCAGGCCTTCCAGAGGACCTGGCCAGTTAGTTTAGAGATGCCTGGGACCTAGCCTAGGGGAGAGGTTGGACTGAGTGATTTCTCAGGCCCCTCTCAAAATTCTCAGGTAGCGTGCCTATTCTGATGTTCATGAGGCTGCACAGTTTCCATCTGTTTCTGCTGAGACCAGAACTAGAAAGTACCTGAGGTAGCCATATTAGAGATTGAGGTGAGGAAAGCCACAGTATGGACCTGAATTCCTAGTACAGGGATTCAAGACCTTTGTAATCTGATCCTGCTCCCACTGCTCATGTTCATTCTCTCTCTCCAGTTCTGACATGCCGGCCACTTCTGCCTCTCCAGATCCTGCCCAGCACCCATGTTCTGCTATCAGTCCCACTTCTTCCAAAAAGCCTTCCTTGACCTCTGCAGCCTCTTCTTTGAAACCCAACCACATGGATCTTACCACACAGTGTAGAATTTAGGATCTTCACACTTCAAGACTGGCAGACACATCCTTAACACCGTCACCTCTTTCTCAGTTGACTTGGTTTCTAGGCCTTGTCTTCTGAGCCTGAGCCTCCCGCTCTGTAGTTGGGCATGTAATCTCTTCCCCTTGAATGCATAACCCTGGATTATATACTTGCTCCTGAAGTGGAGAAGTCAGGTCTTGTTCTACAGGGCTGTGCCCCGAGGGAACGTGGTACAGATCTAGCCTGCTCCCCACACCTTTATCCCTTCCAGCCCCCAGAGGCCATGGTTAGTGGAAGTGCTAACCAGGTGGTTCACCATTCTATGCCCTAAGCTCCACACTCCCCATGACTGGCTTCCAGAAAGTGTGCTTGACTGTACTTCCAGACAGCGGACCAGACTTAGGTTTCCCCAAATGGGAAAGAGTCCAGAGCTCACACCCCAGATCCCCAGGGACCTGCCGTGGGCTTCTGCGTGTCTCATTTGCGTAGGAGGCAGGCTCAGTCCCCCACCAATGGTAAGTAGATGGGTAACCAGCCAAGAGCTAAAGTTCCTCTCGAATTCTCCCTCACCAACCCCCACCCCCTTCACCTCCATTCACCATCCACCCGCCTTTCAGTTTCCTTGGCAACACTGAGTGCTCATCCTGGAAAACTTTATCCGAAATCTGCTCTGGGCAGCTTTCCAAATCCATGCTAACCTGATTAGGTATCTCTAGGGGCCTTGCCAGCTAATCAGATTAGGCAGCACTAATGGTAGTGAGGACTTTGAGTGGGCGCAGAGCAGTAAAACATATTGTATACTTAGTGATAATTATCCTGCCTTTTGTGTCATTGATTTATCTGCCTCCCTCCCTGTCCCCTGTCTTGTGTGTTTGGCCGCAGCGATCCGGAGGAAGGAGAATGGCTGGTACGATGAAGAACACCCTCTGGTCTTCCTCTTCTTGGGATCATCTGGAATAGGTAACGGGAGCAGCGCAGCCAGTGGGGAAGAAGAGCTGGGGGAGCCCCCGCTGCTGTGGGCCAGGACCCGGCCACCCGCCTCTAGCTCAGCTCCAGCTCCCAGCACCACTGCCTCCAAATTACAGAGCCAGCAAGGGAATCATCTGTCACATTAGGAAAAGCTTCAAGTATGCTCCTTCCCCAGGAAGCTGGGGTACAGGGCCTGATTCACCTGGAGGGCCAGGCCCTTTGGGGCCTGGTAGCCATGCTCCAGCTGCTTGGCATCCACTGAGGCTGCCCTTTGAGTACATTTAAACCACCTCCATTGCCCAGCACATCAACCTTATTCGGTACAGCCTGGGATATAACCCGCTAAAGAAAAGGGAGCTAAAGAAAGCCCCTTATGCCAGCACAGTGCTAGGTGCGTAGCAAAATTGGTTGCAGTAAAATGAATTGGGTCTTTTTATGGCCAGTTGGGCTGGATTTTCTTATGCATTCTCACCCCCTCACTCTCTGCCCTCAGACCACCCCACTCTCCCACCTCCTTGACCACCTCCCACCATTGTCTTGATAGGGAATTTCATGCATTTTGTTGCCTCCTTTTCTCCTCTCAGCATTTTTATGGGCCTAGCTCTCCCTCAGATAGGATCCAAAAAAGTTCCCACCACCTCATGATACCATAGAACTTGACTTCCTTACTAGTTACTAGACAGTAACTTCCAAAGGCTTGGTGGTCATACCAAATGGCTCTTCAGAGCCACCACTTTGGTGTTGTCATTCCCTCTTTATGTTACAAAGAAAGGCTTTGAAGCCAAGGAGAGGTGCCCTCCCTGCCTCTGATTGGTCTGGCTCCAGGAAGTCAGGGTGCTCCTAGGAGAGGCAAGGATTGTGCTGGGCTTCAAAGGACAAGGGGCTCTGGATTATAAGAGTCAACCCCCCACTCACAGGTTGCTGCTGTAGAGAAAAAGCCTCAGTCCTCATCCACAGAAAACTCAGCATGCAATTCAGACTTTGATTCTGGCCCCCAGCTTCACCCTTTCCTTGGTGACCTCAACATTCCCATCCATAAAATATATTATTTTCAGTGACCATGCAGTTCTAATATTCTTTCATTCCAGGAGATAGTCAGTCTGGTCCTAACTCATTTCCTCTCCCTTATCTCTTACTAGGAAAAACAGAGCTGGCCAAGCAGACAGCCAAGTATATGCACAAAGATGCCAAAAAGGTAAGGGCTGGGACCTAGGCCTAATCAGCATGCCATGGAGACCTCGCCACCTCTGCTAGCCCCAAAAATCCTAGGCTCCCTGAATCTGGCAATAGCCGATCAAAACGATGCACTCTGGCCTGGGGAGCAGGTCTCAGCTTTAGCCCCAGCTTGGCCACCAATTGTTCCAGGACTTTGGGCAAGTTATCCAACCCCTTTGTACCTCAGTTTCTTCATCTTTGAAATAGGAAGAATACTCCTTGCCCTTTCTGACTCATGGTGCACTTGGGAGAACCCAGTAAGAGTCATCTATACGACATTTTCAAGCATCTGCTCTGTGCCACGTATTATACTAGTTTCTGATAGTACATTGTTTGTTTAGATACTCTGCCTGCCCTGAGAAACTTAGTATGGAGAGGGAAGCAGCTTTAGAAATATACTATTACTGTTCGATGCCATCAAGGCCATGCTAGAGGGAGTATTGATGTCTGTAGAAGAAAACAAGTAGGAACAAGAGGATACTTGATTGCTTCTCTCCACCCTACATGAGCTTTTAAACAGGATTTCTTATGTCTAAGCTGTGGGTGGTCACAGTCCCCTTTACCCATAACTCAGCCCTGGATTTTCCGTAGGAAAAGGCCATCCTCATCCCCTATTTGTTCAGACTCTGGCTTTCCAAGGCCTGCTCAGTTTGACTTTCTAGGCTGACAGGCAATGCTTTCATACAGAGAGAAATGTCAGAGAGAGCAGTCCTTGGAGACTGCAGAAACGTTTCAACGAAAGCCAAACATCTGCTTTCTACCAGCCTTCTCAGCACGGAGGCTAAGGTCCCCCTGCCCACCGCCAGAGCTTGCCACGACCCTAGATGCCCTTGCCTCATTTCTATGGAAAGTCTCCCCAGCTGAGGCAATGAAGAATTGCTCAGGACTGTGCCAGCCAAACTGCCCCAGCAGCAGAGTTCTGGGCACCTCCTGTCCTGCTTCTAGACTAGCTGCCCCTTTGCCACCTTCCTAAGAGCCTGGCAGCCGCAGAAACAGGGTAGCTCAGGCTGTGTCCTCCTGAGCTGCATCCATGACCTCCTCCTGCATAATAACTGGCTGAAGGCTCCTGGCTCTGCCAGTAGCTATGCTTTGCCTCAACCCAACCCAGAACAGACCCACTTGACAGGCAGGCAGGCAAGAAGCAGTGCATGACATGTTAATATGCTCTAACTGAAATAGCATTTTTTAAGACAATTCATCAGGTTGGCAGCGATTGAAACAATTAGCACTCTGGAAAGGGCCATAAACTAGCAAGACTATTATTAGGGAAGATGCAGTTACGGGCAGGAACCACCTGATTAGGGATGAAGAATTCTGAGTGTTTTAATTTTAATACTGTCAGAAAGGTTAATATTTAATTACAAATTATAATCTCCTTATCCAAGCTGTCTTAATATGTCTTCATACACAGTGGAAGTAAAAGGAAAGTATCTGCTGACTCGCTGGTGTAGAAAGGAGAGGGGGCTTATTTAAATTATGATGATGCAAGTCAGTTTTAGTTGGAGCATCTATTTATTGTAGATGGGGGCACATTTGCATCAGTGCAGGGTGTGCTGATGTCATCTTTCAATATATGCCTCACCTAGGATACACCATCACCCCTTGGAGGCAGTGGGCTGGGTGGTCCGTTCCTTGGCACAGGCTCCAGTTCTTTCTACTGGCCCTCAACAGGTTACTTTACCCCTGTCCATCCTCCTACCCTCCCGAAGCCTGCATTTCTCTTGGCTGAGCTGCCTGGGGCCTCTGAAGATGCCTGCTGGCTAATGCCCCTGTGCTCTGATAGCAAGGAGAACCCCTTATGTGACCTTAATAACTTCCTCTGGCCCTTTTCCACCTCTTGAGTTAGGTCCTCTCCTCAGGCCCCTGGTGAAATTAGGAGAGGAAACGGGGGCCAGTGTTACACAGGAAGGAACTACAGCGCAAAAGGGGGAGGCAGCATGCCCAGGGCCACACAGACAGTGGCAGAACTCGGACTGGAAGCCGAGCTCCCTGGCTGCCGGCCCAGGGCTCTGTCTGCCACCCTGTACCTCAGGTACAGAGTCACAGGACAGAGGAAAAACTAGAAGTACATCGCTGAGTGAATTTCAGACCAGCAGCCGAGCTACAGTAGGCCTGGATTTCAAGCACAACTACCTCCCTGCTAGGCTCTTAGCACCCCATCATCCCCAGCTCTTGGGAGAAGTGCAGCCAGTGAGTGTGCTCTCAGGTGGAACCATGTTCCATGCTAGTAGGAGAGAAGCCCAGGGAGACTGTGGGGAACCCTGGTCTGGGAGGAGAAACAGCACCTGTGAATGCCCTTATAACTCCCTAAATTCTTCCTGAAAAGAAGTGGGTACCCTGCCTGTGTAGACGCACAAATCCCATCCTACCCAGTGTTCAACCCCCCCCCCCCCCCCCGCTAATCATGATCAGGCCTCACCCCAGGGGGCCACTTCCTTGGAAATCACCCCTAGGCCCAGCAATGGTGAGAGAAAGGCTGCGAGCTACATCATGGGTAGCTTTTTAGATGAAATAGGGAAATGTAAATAAATAGAAAGGTTTATTAGTTTAGAAGAAAAGTAAACTAAAAGGGGCATGTGCCCACACACACTTGCAAAGGCGAGGGCACCATGCAGCTCTCTGGGTATCTGTTGCTCCCCTCCATGTCACAATCAGCGTGGACCGCGATGACGTGGAGGGGAGCAACAGCTTGTAGGTGCTCCACGAGGACAGAGACCAAGCCGTGTTCACCATTGTAGCCCCAGTGCCCAGCACACACAGGACGCCCTCAGGAAATGGGGAGTGGACGGGAGGAGAGTGGATGATATGGTAACCAGACCAGTGGAAGCCTGCCTGTAAAAAGACATTCTGAGCCAGATTTAGAAGGGCAGGGAAGTGACTTGGGTTTGTTGAGGTAGGGCATGGAACCACATAGGGAATGAGTGGACTGAAAAGGGGACAAGGAGCCTGGCAGAATATGTCTTGAGACTGGAATACACCTTGGGTTGGTGTGATCTGAAAGCCTAGGAGATATTTGAGGTGCTGCCCTCCTTAATCCTTCCCTGTGCTTCCTGCTTCCGATTGGACTCCTGCTTATTCCCACACAGGGCTTCATCAGGCTGGACATGTCTGAGTTCCAGGAGCGGCATGAGGTGAGTGAGTCCTCGGTGAAGCGTGATTTGGAGGGCCTGTCAATATAGCTACCTGGGCATTTTGATGTGGCTTATGATTTGGGCTGGAGATAATTCCAGTATCCTTGGGATTTGTCCTTTGGGGAAACAGGTGTGTAGGAGGGTCACTGATCTGTTTTGCTTAGGATTTGCTCTGAAGAATAAACATAGAGAAGATCTGTCTGCTCTCCCATCATGGTAGGATTCCTGCCACCCCAGGAGACAGGCAGCCTTAACAGTGTGTATGAAGCCATCTTCCTGTGCATGCTCAATTGGAAACCAAAAGCATGGAAAGGCCTTCCTAACATGTTTCCTTGCTTCCCCCAGGTGGCCAAGTTTATCGGGTCCCCACCAGGCTACATTGGCCACGAGGAGGGTGGCCAGCTGACCAAGAAGCTGAAGCAGTGCCCCAATGCCGTGGTGCTCTTTGATGAGGTGGACAAGGCCCATCCAGATGTGCTTACCATAATGCTGCAGCTGTTTGATGAGGTGAAAGTTAGCCTGGGCTGGAGTGGAAGTAGGGACACCTGGAAGTATGGGGGGCTGTGAACAGTGGGAACCAAGGGCCCAGAGGCCTGTCTGATCTTTCCGCAACTTGCTGCTCCCCCATGTGTACATTTGGGCACTTAGCAGATGTGGTTTTACCCGCTTCCTGGACCAGGGCCCAGGCTGGGCACTCGAGGGAAGACCAGCACTGGTCACGAGTCGAAAATTTCGTCACTGCCCTGGCTTCCTTCCAGAGACACAGAGTGGGACAGAGGTGCCAGGATAGAGAGAGACCTGAACTTTTACAGTAGTTTCAGCTCTGCTTCATCTCTGGGCATTGGGGACCTCGTGACAAACAAAGAGGCTGGATCCAAGATAAGCTCCAAGAACCTTTCTGGCTCATGGAGCCCTTTTCTTTTCAGGAGCTCCAGGTTTGTCACAAACAAAACAGGCTACTCCACTGGTGGAGTGAGTTCTAAATGAGGAGAAGAACCCGCCTTTATTCAGCACATTCTGTGTTCTAGGCTTGTGCTAAAGACTTTACAGATGTTTTCTCTAATCATCACAATAGCCAGGCAAGCCAGAAAGGAGCTCATCTTTTACAGATGAAGAAACTGCAGTTCAGAGAGGTTATAAATGACTTGCCCAAGGCCACAGAGCTACTCTGTGGAGAAGCCAGGATTGGGCTGCAAATACATCTGATCCCAGAGCCCCAGTTCTGCCCTCTGTACCGCTCCTTCCTTTGAGCTGAGGAGGGAGAGCTTATGGTTACAGAGGGGTTGACCTCTGCCCTTTCCAGGGGCCTGCAGAACCGGGATGAAGCTTCCGTTCTGCTCCCATGAAGGGGCTATTTTAGCCAGCACATGGCTAGATAGAGTCCAGCCCACCTTTCCACTTAGCCCCTCTAGCCCTGGGAAAAAAGGGAGGGGTTTTGCTTCCCATGCCACAAGTGCAGTAGATGAGGTACAGGAAGGGAGTCCCCCGGACCAAATAGCACACCAGGTACCAAGCCAGGAAGAACCAAAACCAAATGTGTCCATAGCTGCCCACCACCTTCCCCACCTGTCACAGCGTCCTTGCCCTGCCCCAGTTTTGTTGCTGTCTTCTCGGCCCCTCAGCTACTCCCTGTCCTCAGGCCCCCCACTGAGGAATGAAGGCCAGTCCTTCAAAAGCCACATATTCAGTTACTCTCATCTGGGCTCTGAGACCTCCTGCTCTGTTCCAGCTTCTTGATGGGATTCAGGTAAACAGCTATGCACCAGACCGAACCCTGCCCTCAGGCAGCTCCCTGCCTAGTTAACAGGTAGAAAGGAGACATGATAATTTTGCACTTTATATGCCACACACCGTTCTAAAAAAAATGTACATGTATCAACTCCTTTAATCCTCCCAGCAACCTAGGATAGTTAACAGATGTAACATGTAACAGATGTGGAAACCGAAGTACAGTGAGGAAGTAATTCACCCTTGGCCACACAGCTGGAAAGAGGGGTTCCAGATTCAAACCCAGGCAGCCCAGTTCCAGAGCCTGCAGCTTAAATAATAACTACTGTGCAGCCAGAGCCAAGAGAGAGAGGCAGACCTGCAGTGAGGCATTCACAGGAAGGGAGAGTCCAGCAGCCTGTTTGGCCTCTGACATCCCATCAGAGGCCTCCTTGGCCCAGGAGGAGGGACGGCAGCTGCTGACTGCAATACCGCTGGGTCCACCTGGAAGATGCTACCACCCCCTCAGGGAAGCCCTGTCCACCTCTCCCTGCTGCTGTCACTCCATGGCTGCCTTTGGGAGTTGATAATAATTCCTTTCTGTAGCCCCCACCAGCCTGCTGTAGTTTCTAATGCTTATGCCCTTGGTTCCACCCTGGTTTACTTAGCCAGATTTATGCGTGTATGCTCCTTGAGGACAGGGACCTTGTCTTACTCTGACCATTTCCATTCCCACTTCTCAGGGGAAATGCTCTGTTAACTAACTTAATTCAGTGGTAATTCAGCAAACCTTCCATGGATGGATAAGTGTTAGCCAGGTGAACAGAGAGAAGGGCTGGCAGCAGATACCTAATGTGCAGAGAAACACAGGGGCATGAGGCAGCCAGGTGTATTCAAGGAACCACAGCTGTTCAGTACTGCTCAAATGCAGAGGGAAGTGAACAGAATGGTGGAGATGAGGTGGGTAAGGTAGACGGGGGTTATTTTAATTGGTCCCAGTTAAGGCAAAGGAGCGCAGATTTGTTTGGTGGATCATAAGGAGTCTTGAAAGACTTTAAGCAAGAGAGAAACATGGTCAGGTTTTCACTTTATAAAGATCCTGTAGGCAGTGGTCAAAGAATGGAAAGAAGAGGTGGACAGCAAGGGCACTATTGAAGTGCCCAGGCTAGAGCTGGGGAGGCCTGCTGTAAAGCAGGGCTGTGGGATGAGAACTACCAGGAGGTCGACTGTGCACAGCTTAGTGATTGGGCAGGAGGAGAGAGGGAGGGGCCAAGGGTTTCTGGCCTGGGTGACTGGATGGCTGCTGCTGCCATCAGCTGAGGCAGAGAACACAGGATGAGCAGCAGATTGGCAAGGAAGGTGAGCTGAGGCTTGGAATTGTTGAATGGTGATGCCTGAGGGACAGCCATATGGAGATGTCCAAGGGGCCATTCATTAGTTGGAGAGGTCTGGAGCGTAGGAGAGGTCTGTACTGGAAGTAGAAATTCAGGAATGTCCCAGCACAGAGAGGGTAACGGAAGCCATGGGTAGCGATGATATCTCTCAACTAGAAAGCGTATAGTGTGCAGAGAAGAGAGGGCTAAAACAGAGCCTCGTGACCCATCAGGAAAGAGCCAGAGGGGGAGATGGCAAAGCAAAAGGCTGGTTCAGTGTGGGGCAGAGGGGACACAGACAGAACACAGTCCCTGCCTCAGTGTTCAGAAATGAGTGGGGAAGACCCACAGCAAAAAGCAGTTCAGCCCACTGTGGTGAGTGCTGTGCCAGGAGAAGTAGCAAGTGCCGGAAGTTGTAAGGGCACCTAATCTAGTCTGGGGGCATGAGGGAAGCCCCCCATTCCTACCCAGCCAGTTCTCCCAAGCCTGGGCCCAGAAAAGCAAGAGTCCTAAATGTACTCACCAAAGAGCCAAGCAGAACTAATGCTGATCACATTCCAGGTGACCCCAAAGCTTACAGCACAGGGCTGAAGTCCCAGGAAGAGGCTGGCCCCCCGGGAGCCCATCCTCTGCTCCTCCCTTCAAGGATAGAAGCAGTGGGGAAACAGCCCCCAGGGCCTGGGGTGAGCATTTGTGCCCCATCCGGGATGTGTGCACTGTAGTCATTGCTAGGAGGTAAGACAGTGACGGCTGTCTATTGGGACACATCTTTGGGACACATCTTTATTGCCATGGGCTCTGAGGACAAGAAGACATGAAGTCACCCTTGGGTCAGTCATACACTGCACCTGCTCCCCTCACCCACCTGGGACCCATCCTCAGGCCCAGTTATAAGCAGAGCTTTGATCTCTCGGAATGAAATTGCTGCTGGTTATTGCTCTGGCCAGTATAGCAGTGTGTGCACTCAGTCCTCAGGGATGAGCTCTGCGAACATACAGTGTCATATACACGTGCTTGGGCATGCCACACATTCATGCAGACCTGGTCCCCATTAAGGAGTAGAAGATTCTGTTGTAACTCGTAAGCAGGAAAGCTAATGCAAAAGCTCAAGAACATCCATTTGTGCCCTTGCCTTCCCCTTGTCCCACCCCAAGGCAGGGACGGAAGAGTGACTAGGACCTGGATCACGAGGCCCCTTTTGAATAGACCTCCTTGGAAGTAACACTTTCTGAGAGGCCTGTAAAGTGAGGCTGAAAAACACCCAGTACCATGCCCAGCACACAGTGGGTGCTCAGATAATGTACGTTCCTTCCTCGGTTGCCTCTGAGGACCAGGGTTGGTCTGCCATTGCATTGGCTTTGGAAGCAAGGCCTGGCCATTAGGCCACACCAACAGGGAAAGGGAAACGCTTGAGAAGTACTGGCTACTGGCTGAGGCCGGGGCAGGCAGGAGCTGACAGGCTGAGGTCAGTGACCAATCCCCCAGAGCCGTGTCTTCCAGCCTGGCAGGACCCATTGCTTTGTCTACAACCCACAGGAAATCCCAGGCAGGTCTTCCCACACCTGTCCCAGTTGCTTCTCTCCAACGAGGATCAAAGGATGCAAATTAAATTTGGCAGAATTCTGAGAAAATATTTTTTTATCAAATTTATTGCAGTGACATTGGTTAGTAAAATTATATAGGTTTCAAGTGTACAATTCTATAATACATCATCTATATATTGCATTGTATGTTCATCACCCAAAGTCAATTCTCCTTTAATCACCATATATTTGACCCCCTTTACCTTTTTCTACCACCACTCCTCTACCCTTACTCTCTGGTAACCACTAAACTCTTGTCTGCGTCTATAACTTTTTGTTTGTTTGTCTTGTTTGTTTGTTGCTTTCAGTTTTATATCCCACATGAGTGAAATCATATGGTTCTCAACTTTGTCAGACTTACTTCACTTAGCGTGATACTCTCAAGATTCATCCATGTTATTTGCAAATGGCAGCATTTCATCTTTTCTTATGGCAGAGTAATATTCCATTGTATATATACCACATCTTCTTTATCCAATCATCTATTGAAGGACTCTTTGGTTGTTTCCATGTCTTGGCCATCATAAATAATGCTGCAGTGAACATAGAGGTACATAAATCTTTACGGATAAATGGTTTCAGATTGTTTGGGTAGATACCCAAAAGAGGAATTGCTGGGTCATATGGTAATTCTATTCTTAATTTTTTGAGGAACCTCCATACTGTTTTCCATAGTGGCTGCACCAGTCTACATTCCCACCAGCAGTGTATAAGGGTTCCTTTGTCTCCACAGCCTTTCCAACACTTGTTATTACTTGTCTTGTTGATAATTGCCATTCTAACAGGTATCTCATTGTGGTTTTCATTTGCATTTCCCTAATAGCTAGTGAAGTTGAGCATTTTTTCATATATCTGTTGGCCATCTGTATGTCTTCTTAGAAGTGTCTGTTCAGGCCCTCTGCCCATTTTTTTTTTCTTTTTCTTTTTCTTTTTTTTTTTTAAAGATTTTTATTGGGGAATTGGGGGGATGGGAACAATGCTGGGGAATTGGGGGAAGGGGAACAGACAAGTTGCTGTCGTTTTTTTTGTTCTTCAATCTAGTTGTGGAGGACGCCGCTTCACTGGCCCAAGTTGG